TTTACAGACTTCCGACTACCTGCCAAGCACAGTTATAGGTGCTGGCAACTCAACAGAGTGAACAAAAAACAAAAATCTCTGCCTTTAAGGGGTTTACATTCTCTGTAGATAAAATTTAATGTCTCAGAAGAGTCAGGGAACACCCACGCAGGGCTCAAAAAAGTACAAAACAACTACTAGTTAATAAAGATCATAAAAACTGATAAGTTTCGAATGTACTTTACATAGCTCAAACCATCTCAAATTTCAGCTAAGGGTATAGGAAAGTGAAAAATTCCTTCTGACTGGCAGCAAGCCAAAGAACTAGGAACCAACTGAGAATTCAGAAGTATCTCAGGATCCTGCAATATTTCATCCACGCAAATTCCAGCTGCAGTTTATTCACTGCCTGAAGTCAGGCGCCTGCCTAATAATCAGGAAATACTTCATTTCCTATTATATTGACTCAAAGCATCATTCCTAAAGTAAAAATAGAGACCGGTCCTCACCACAGGCGTTTGTTTCAGAACATACTTTCTCCCTCATACCTCATAATGAACTAGCTGGGTCATCCCCCAGAGCAAGCCACCATCCGACATGGCAACCTTATTTATAGCCTCGAGTCATCCCACCACAGACCATAAAGTCTTCACTACTAAAGTCACAGAAGTATTTCAATCTGTTTGGCTAAATCTAACATTAACAAGACAAAAACCAGACGCTTCTTATATGAGCAAGCTGCCTTCCCTGTGGTCCATGTTAGAATGCCTCTAGTATCAGTTAAGTCACCACAGAAACGTGTCACTGACCATCAAACAGACTAAGAAACCGTTAATAGGTCTCTATAAATCCTTCCCATCTACTTGCAAGAACAAAACAAATCCTCAAACCATAATCTTCAGAATTAAAAGCCACTACAAAAAAAAAAGCCCCTACAATTCAAGAGGATCACTTAGTAAACTAGTCTAACCTCTTCATTTCAGAGGAAGGGAAACTGATGCCCAAAGCAGTTACATGACCAGTCCAAGATAACACATTAAAATGGAAAAGCCAAACTCAAATCCAGATTTTTTTTTTAAACTCCCTATCAGCTGACCGTCTCAATACACCAAGTGAAATCTACTTATATTTTGGGGCCAGCAGGTACTGCTTCCAAGCCATTCTAGTATCAGAAGGGCAGGGGATATTATAGGATGACTGGGAAGGAGACTAGGAAAGAACCAACCACAGAAATCAGGATCTGATATATTAACATCAATGCATCTTCTCATATTCTCATATTATGATGTTTAAGATATTTTCAATCTATAGCAACTGTGTTTTGATTGCCATGTTCTCTGGTATGTCTTTCTAGCTTCTCCGCCACTTCTAAAAACCTAAAACATGCCTGAAACCCTTTCAGTACTAACATTCTATGTAGCAGCAACAGCAAAGGAACTGGGAAAAGTTAGCTGGCAGAGGAGAAAGCTCTCTAAACCTTGGGTAATTCTTACTCATCCTTCTAATTTAGCTCAGGATTTCTTGTAGGAAGCCCTAATTCCCCCTTGCCCCTAGGCTAGGCTCTTAGACCAGAGTAACTGTACTTGCCTCACGCTATTCTGTCGTTCACCTGTCTGGACCCAGTTCTTTGAGGGCAAGGACTTCAACCTGAGACCTACACTGAGTGTGCTGGATGAACTGCACAGTAGGTGCTGGATGAACGAACAATTTTTAAACTTGCCACTTAAAGCACCAATATAAACAGCTAAAAGGTGGCAACCCTATTCTGATTTAAAACACGGTTTTCAATAACATTTTTTAGCAGGTCTTTTTGTAAAAATCTTATCAGAGACCCCAGTGTGGAAAAGCAACTTATTGGTCCTCAGGTAATTTAAGTTCTCCGAGTTTGACGGAAAATACCAGTGAGCCTAGTACAGGGCATAGCAGCAGCAGAGGCAAGAGCTGATGCGAATCAGGCATCTAACTTTGTTCCTTCTTCATCTCCATCTTGTGTCACTCTCCCACCCTCCCTCCCAAGAGGAGGGAGATCTGGGTCTCAAAGCAGATCCATCTTTGTTGATGGTGGGGCTTAGGAGTAAATAGACTACTGGCCACTGCATAAGCTACACAGTTCTAGTTGCTAGTTATACAGGTATTTTGAGAGATGGCTTGCTAACATCTGAACAAGCAGAAACATGCACTGAATCAAATGTGGCAGGCCTATTCCTATGCTTCAAGGCTCAAGGAGGTAAAGATAACCTACTTGTCTAGCTGTATGTAGCTATGAGCTAATTAAAACATGGTACAGCATCACTGCACTTTAGGTTACTCCACAGAGATCCTTTACTTTATACAGACTTCCTCTAGCTATAAAATACGGGAGGGCATCCTTGCTGCCCTCACTCTCACACGCACACTTGGTAAGAAGTAGCCCAGCACACAGAAAGGACATCCATAAGCCTTAGGACCACAGTCTGAACCACAGTTCGCTACCTACTAGATAGATGACCTTGAGAACGTTACTTACATTCTCTGAAATTCAGTTTCCTCTGAACTTCAGTTTCCTCATCAGTAAAACAGAGAACATTAGAGTTCTTGTGCAAATTAATGAAATCATATATGTACAGCTCCTAGAACAGTAGGCACTCAATAAATAAACACCATTATTATCACTCAGATTTAGCTTTGATGGAGGCAAAAAGAAGAAAGCAAATGTTACTGGTTTCAGCCTATAAAACTGAAAATCAACACAGAATGCAAAAAAGGGAAAACTATAGTACCGAAAATAAAGAGAATATTTGCTTTTAATGTATGTCATATCTAAGACAAAAGAGCTGAGGACACAAGTCATTTGGGGGTCACCACAGGCCTTTACCAAATTAAGTTTCTTTAAAGAACTTACTGCTCTGATTTTCTTAACCAAACCAACTCCCCCTAAACAGTAACTAGACTCCCCAGAAGTGTCAGCAGCCCTGAGAGAAATTACATCCTGAAGCCTTTCCATATAAATAGAACATTGAGTATTCATAACAGACCGCAAAATTGTTCTGTTTAAGTCAGAACTACTTGGGCACTTGAATTCAAACTCATTTATCTTCAATTATCTCAAGGGTGAGCAATTTCCATCTAAAGAACTAGGCTTTTAATGAGGACCCAAGAACTCCCTGAAAAATGTTAGCAAGATTTTCTATGCATGTACAATTTTCTCTGGAGAGGGACTACAAGGTTTTATCAAAATGTCAAAGTTGTTTGTTACCTAGAAAAGGTTAAGAATCAGCATGAGGTTCTCAGTAGAGCCTCCTGGAACCTCACACTGGGAAGGTGAGGTGAGCAAATCTCAAGGCAAGGATCCCCAAGTGCCAATTTCATAAACTATTCACACTGGATTATGTTATAGAAACTCTAAGCATATTTCTCGCTTGGCATCAGCCCTTTTTGTATCGGGGTTTATCTTCTTTCATCCTCACCGTCCCCACCCACCCTCCGCCAAGGCCCATCCACCCCTGGACAGGTCCCATCCAGCCTCTCGGCAGCCAAGGACCTCCACCTGACAGGGCCTTAGGAGCCTGCTGCATTAAGCTTCAATTCCAACTGATTAGCATTTCCGATTTGCAGTTGAACACTGAGTACAAACGAAGCACAGACATCGTTACATGAGTCTCCTTATATTTTTACAGATTTAAAATGCTATCTAAACTTATTAATTCAAACACAACTACACCAGTACATTCTGAAGAACTGGAGTTAATCAAGCCACAGAAAGGGCAACTCCAACTCTGCACTCCAGTCTCAATGCTTCGATGTGTATCAATTTATATGATGATCACTTTTATCAAACAAATACAAATCCCCACATTCCCTCAGTGTAGAAAAGCAAAATTACCCTATTTCAATCCATTTTTAACCAATTCCCCATTACCACGGATAACATTCCACCACTGGCATGTTATAATGAAATCTGTAATCTACACTTCATATACTTACAAGCTTTCAGATTTAGCAATTGTAATCTTTCAATGTGTAAAGCAAATAAAAGATAACAGAACTGTGAAATACATCAAGAAGAAAATTTAATCTTACTTCACTGACATGAGCCAAAGTAAAAAAAAGCCACATAAAACTAAGTAACCTATATTACTACATTTAGATCTATCTCCTTTAACAACTGTTGCAGTATTACTAACTTATATTGCAACAAACTCACAACTTTTAAAAGTCCTTCCTTTGTGAAATGCACTTGTAAAAGCACACTTGAAACACTTAAGTATCCAAATAATGCCACTAAACTCACCAAGCACTGTCAGACTCAGCACCTCGGTCCTTACACTTTGTAGCCAAGAACACATAACTACAGGCCGCCTTTCATATGTTTAATTTCCCAAACAGCTCCAAGATGGAGGTAACGAATAATTTACTTGGTGGCACAGTATAGAAACTTAAAGAGCGCTAACCAAGTATGGGCAATCAAGATAAAAAAAAAACCCTGAAATTAAAAAGGAATTTAAACTCACAAAGCATTAAGTGAAGATATCTTTAAGAGATCCAATACTGGATTCTACCTTGAAGTAGGAGTATCAGTCAGTCTCCCCCACCCCCCAAAGTAAAGCAACTAGGGACACTGATCAAAACTAACCAGGTTTTTAACGGGCAGCAAACACTATGGAATCACTAACCAGTCTCATCAGTGAGCAATTCTTAATTAAACAGAATCATGCAGTTAAACATTATGAAATCAGTACACACATCACACTGGAACGGAATTTATCTTACCCTGCGCCACACTGCTTGGATTGAAAAAATGTGGACTAACAATATTCAAAGCACAGACAAAATGGCACTTGACAGAAACCAAAACGATGACCTGAGATGACTAGAGGGGGAGATACCTTTCCCTTCTCAAAGTAATGGATACAGACAAGAATCAAACTACAGACTGTGAAATAATCTGTGGACCTCACAGCAGTTAGTTTCGCTTGCTCCAACACCCTACTCTCTCTAATAGTCAAACACACGATGACACAAATACAAAAACACAACACATCTAAACATCCAATAATTATTTATTGATTTACATAAATACAACGGATTGGGGGGAGGGGTGTATAATGAAATGTTACTCTCAGGTAGGTAATAATGCCTTTCTAATTCTCCGTGGAATTCATGAACTCAACGTTTTACCTTCACCCGCTGGTTTTTAACTAAAATACCTCGTCACCAAGTCTTTTCAATCAAAGCTGTGCAAAAACTCTACAGTCGAGCAAATAACATGAGATTAGACATATTCAACACTAGACTTTTCAGCCAGGAACCACGGTACCCTCCAGATATCAGGCCTAGGAAGAGTAAATTCAAGCCCTTTAAAAATATTCAGCATTTAACACCAGTCTTCCAAGAAGTGAGACTTTTGGGGGTGATGGGTAATGTCAGTTAACTTCCTCTTCCTTTAAAAAAGGTCAAAGACAGGGAAGCGTCCGGCGTAACATTTCCTCCTTAGATCGCGTTCCACCACAAACCACATCACAACTCTCCCAATCGCTAAAAAAAAAAAAAAAAAAAAAAAACTACTCTGAGGGAGTGCTTTCTGCAAAATTTCACCGTAGACTGAAAATCCGACTTACCTTTGGAACGAGCTGAGTTTAGTTTCACACGGGAAATTTACCAATAAAGTTTATTATGTATTAACCACGATAATCAAGGAAGCCCACCATGCCCCGCTGCAGCGGGAGCTGAAGGGAGATCAGGAGGAGGGTGTCGTCCTTACAACAATCAGAGAAAAAGCCTTCCCTGCGGGGCTGGTCACAGGCACCAGCAAATTCGGCCTAATAAAAGGGGGGGGGGGGGGTCGGGTTTCGAGGGGAGGAGACACGAGAAGGGGGAAACGGTGTCTCCCACCCCGCCCCGGCTCCAAAAGGGAAGGGCTGCAGAAGCAAGGCCGATAGAGCTAGTCTGCACAGTAGTGCAGAGGGTCCGGGGGAGGGGGGAGTTCCCCATCCCCCGCAGAGCTGCTGCCAGGGCACCCCCAAAAGCTCCGGCGCCAGGTCGGGTGCGTGGGCTGGAGGAGAAGCGTCCCTGCCCCTGGCTGGGCAGTGGTTGCGGGCAGGAGAGTCCCCGGAGGGGCCACAGTCCCCGACACCCCTAACCCCGGTCCACGGCGAAGCGAGCCGAAGGGCTGGCAGGAAGGTGAAAAGGATACTGTTGGGGCGCCTGGGTCTGGAGGGCCCTGATGTTCGGGTGAGTGCAGCCGCCCCGCGGGCCAGCACCACCGGCTGCCGGTCTCCGTGACAACGCGACCCCAGGGGGGGGGCCGGACCCGGCGGGGGCAGGAGGCGGAGAGACCGGACCTTTCACGGCAATATCCTCATGGGCCGGCGGCGGGGGGTCTTTATCCCCCTCCCCGGGGGAAGCGGCGCCCTTCTCGGTAGCGGGGCTCAGGCGATGCCGGCGGATTTTCTTCCCTCAACGAGCAGAGCATCCAACATGGCGCTGCGGCCGCCTCCAGCAGTCCGGCAGGACGGCCGCTCGGAAAACTTCGGGCCTTTTCGGAGTGGCTCGGGAGGCCGAGGGTGGGAAGCCCCTTCGGCTCTTTCCGGAGACTGGGAGTGATCGGGATTCTTCGGAAACGCTCGGGGGCGTCTTCGGCCGCCGTTCGGGAGCTCTCTGGGGCGGACTCGCTTCCTCGGGGAAGATCGGCAAGGAGTCGGGGGAGGGGCGCGGGGGGAGGCTTCCCAGGCGCGCTGCGGCCGAGGGGTACCGGGCGGAGGGAGAGACCAAAGGCGAGGTCTGGTCTGTGAGAGCCCTCCCCTGTAGCCCAGCCGCGAAGAACAATGGTAACGGCCGTGGAGCCCTGCGGTCCGCAGAGCCCTGTCCGCGGGGGGCGGGAGACGCTGAGAGAGACCCAGGTCACGGTGGTAGGAAGCGCTTCACCACAGAGAAATCGCTGGAGAGGAACGCGCCGCGTGCCCCTATCTGCATCACACAGAGCTCTCGCCGGCCTGTAACGCAGTCACCGTCCATTGTGTCGACATTTCGCCCTCGCTCAGAGAAGCGAGTGGGATGAGGAGCCCCGGTCTCCAGAGCGCGCTGAGGCGAGGAGAGGAAAAGGGACCGGCCCAAGGTCACCCAGCAGAGAAAGGACAGAGCCAAACCAGGATCTGAAATCCACCTTCGTCTGAAGGAACCTGGCCGCCTCCCAAGTTGCCCGGGGACCTCACCTGACTGCCTTATCTAATCGGCAGCCCTAATTTAAGGATCTGTGCAAGGATTCTTCTCAGGCCTGCCTCAGGACCCGAGCGCCCTTTGACCGTCAGCCGGCGGTCGGCTCCCCAGTGCCCTATGACACTTAAACTCCTTTTCTCCTGAGCATGACCAACGAACACACCCCCACACACACCCTGCCCGCAAACCACCACCACCCCGCATTGGGGGTCTTGTCTAAGCACTGGAACATTGAGGGGAAAAGAACTGCAGAGATCAGGGAGCAAGCCAGGTAATAATGGTTCCCAGGCACCGAGCACTTACTGTCTCACACCGTCCAGTGAAATAGGGACAATCATTTCACAAAGGAAGAGACTGAGGCCCAGGGAGACTCAATGCTGCTGCTGCTGCTAAGTCACTTCAGTCGTGTCCGACTCTGTGCGACCCCATAGACGGCAGCCCACCAGGCTCCGCCGTCCCTGGGATTCTCCAGGCAAGAACACTGGAGAGGGCTGCCGTTTCCTTGTCCAGTGCGTGAGAGTGAAGTCGCTCAGTCGTGTCTGACTCTTCGAGACCCCATGGACTGCAGCCCACCAGGCTCCTCTGCCCATGGGATTTTCCAGGCAAGAGTACTGGAGTGGGTTGTCATTGCCTTCTCCGGGGAGACTCAATACCACCACCCAAAAGAAGGAGCTGAGAAAAGCCAGGCTCAAAACCCACAAGAGGAGACTGCCCTGGTGGCTCAGAGGGAAAGAATCCGCCTGCCAATGCAGGAGACACCGGTTTAATCCCTGGTCCAGGAAGATCCCAGAGGTGGTGGAGCAACTAAGACCATGTGCTACAACTATTGAGCCTGTCCTCTAAAGCCCAGGAGCTGCAACTCAAGCCCTTGTGCCACAACTACTGAAGCTGGAATGCCCTAGAGCCAGTTCTCCACAACAAGAGAAGCCCGTGCACATCAGCTAGAGAGTAGCCCAGCTCACCACAGCTAAAGAAAAGCCTGCACAGCAACAAAGACCCAGCACAGCCAAAACTAAATAAATGAAAATAAAATCATTAAAAAAAAAGGGCAAGATACTTTCCCAAGGTCACATGGAGAGTGTAATTGGCAGACACAAAATTGGAATCAGAGGTGGGTTCTAACTCCTGCTATACTGTTTCATACTGCCTTTTTTTTTTTTTTTTCAATTCATATGAAGCTCTACACACAATCGGTGCTTAATTCTTGGTAGTCCTTGGGAACCCTAAAAGTTCCTTCTGAATAAAAACCATCTGGAAGAAGGGGATACCTCCACTGCATCTTTCTGGGGAGAGTTTCACAGCTCCTAGTGTAGTGAAGAAGGAATATCATCCATCCATCATCTCCAGACTGGAAGTCACATTCTGGAATCGTTTGGATTTGTAACACCTGTTTACCTGGGATTGGATTTTCTGGTCTTCTTCAGGCACAATCAGCTCCAGGAAAAATTCCCAACTGGTACTGCCCTTCCCCAGATTCTCCTTCTGTGTTCCAGATCTCAAACTTCCTTCTCCCAATGAAAACCTGTTCCCAGGAAAGAATTTGGTTCCCCATTTACAGGGTGAATCTACCTCTGCTTTATTGACTACGCCAAAACCTTTAACTGTGTGGATCACAACAAACTGTGGAAAACTCCTAAAGAGATGGGAATACCAGACCACCCGACCTGCCTCCGGAGAAATCTGTATGCAGGTCAAGAAGCAATAGTTAGAACTGAACATGGAACAACAGACTTGGTTCCAAATCAGGAAAGGAGTATGTCAAGGCTGTGTATTTTCACCCTGCTTATTTAACTTATATGCACAGTACATCATGCAAAATGCCAGGCTGAATGAAGCACAAGCTAGAATCAAGATTGCAGGGAGAAATATCAATAACCTGAGATACACAGATGACACAACCCTTATGGCAGAAAGTGAAGAAGACCTAAAGAACCTCTTGATGAAAGTGAAAGAGGAGAGTGAAAAAGTTGGCTTAAAGCTCAACATTCAGAAAAGTAAGATCATGGCATCTCGTCCCATCACTTCATGGCAAATAGATGGGGAAACAATGGAAACAATAAGAGACTTTATTTTGGGGGGCTCCAAAATCACTGCAGATGGTGACTGCAGCCATGAAATTAAAAGACTCTTGCTCCTTGGAAGAAAAGCTATGACCAACCTAGACAGCGTATTAAAAAGCAAAGACATTACTTTGCAAACAAAGGTCCGTCTAGTCAAAGCTATGGTTTTACCAGTAGTCATGTATGGATGTGAGAGTTGGACCATAAAGAAAGTTGAGCACTGAAGAATTGACTTTTGGACTGTGGCATTGGAGAATACTCTTGAGAGTCCCTTGGACTGCAAGATCCAACCAGTCCGTCCTAAAGGAAATCAGTCCTGAAAATTCATTGGAAGGACTCATGCTGAACCTGAAACTCCAATACTTTGGCTACCTGATGAGAAGAACTGACTCACTGGAAAAGACCCTGATGCTGGGAAAGATTGAAGGCAGGAGGAGAAGGGGATGACAGAGGATGTTATGGTTGGGATGGCATCACTGACTCAATGGACATGAGTTTGAGCAAGCTCCAGAAGTTGGTGATGGACAGGGAAGCCTGGTGTACTGCAGTCCATGGGGTCACAAAGAGTCAAGACAGGACTGAGCAGCTGAACAGAATGGAACTTACAGGGTGATAACAGACTGATAATTGCTTAATTGTTATTCTTTTCTGAGCTTGTTTCCTTTTCCAACTTAATAGCTACACTCATCAGGCGATTATTGTGTGTCTGGTCTTCAGTTATCTCTCTTAAACAGATAGATCTTGAGCAAAATAATGTAACAGTCCTTGATAAGATTCTAGGCCTGGGCAATCAATGGGAAAGCCTTATACCCGTGCAAAGTCAGAAAGGTAGAGTGCTCTCCTTTCATCCAAAGCATAACCCTGCTCAACACCTCCCATTTGACACAGAGCAGCTAAAATTTGTTGAACACCTACTGTGTGCCAGGGCACAACTCTCCTAAGCATTCTACTTAGAGTCAATCCTATTCACCTCCACAACTGTGCAAGGTAATACTATACCTTATTTACAAAGAAACTGAGTAATTGTATAACTTTCAAGTCGAAATGCTGGCATTTAAACCCAGGCATCTGGGACTTCCCTGGTGGTCTAGTGGCTAAGACTCCAAGCTCCCAGTGCAAGGGGCCCAGGTTTGAACCCTGATCAGGGAATTAGATCCTGCATGCTGCAACTAAGAGCTCTGATGCCACAGCTAAAGATCTGTGCTGCAACTAAGAACTGGTGCAGTGAAATAAATAAGTATTTTAAAAAATTAACCCAGGCATCTGACTCCAGTTCTGATATGCCACCATTGCCTTCCCCAGAGCAACCTCCCCATGCTGTCCAGGGACACTGTCCACAAGCAAAGCTGATCTTGTAAATTTGCCTGCTGAGAGCTGTCCATGCCTCCCACATTGCCCTCAGGATCCAGTTTAAATTCAGGACCCTTCAGGAGACTTCCCTGGTGGTCCAATGGTTGAGAGTCTGCCTATCAACTCAGGGGACATGTGTTTGATCCCTAATCTGGGAAGATTCCACATACTGCAGGGCAACTGAGCCCATGTACTACAACAGTGCGGCCATAAACAAGTAAAGAAATAAAACAGCCTCAGGATCTAGACTCTGCTTCCATCCTGCCATTCTCCACCTCACATCCAGAGCTGCAGCCACCTTGCTCCACTGCAAACAAGGCCATCTTCCTCCTCACCCTGGGCTACAACCCCAAACCATCCTCTCTTTTCTCAGCCCATTGGCTAATTCCCGTCCCGCTTCAAGGTTGGCTTAGGCCCCACTTCCTCCAGACAGCCTTTCCTCACTCCCCAGGCTGAGCTATGCTCACCTTTTCTAGGTTCCCGAGTGGATGCTTAAAGCTTGTATTGAGCAACTAAGGGTACAGCTTTTGGAATCAAATTGCCTGAGTTTGATTCTCAGCCCTGCCATTGATTAGTTGTATGACCTTAGAGACAATCACTTAACC